TGTATTTATTTATTCTTCAAATGAACCTAAATATGCATGTTAAGCGTGATTAACAGGTTGAATACATGAATTTTAGAATTGAATACGGATGTGAGATCAGACTAGGGAATGGGTCATTAAGTTAGGAGGTAATGTTATGTTTTCTCGTTGAGGATACTCTTTTCCGGACTTTGTGACTCTCGCCGACACTTCCTGTTTCGCGGTGTCGAGTTTAACCGGAAGACGGGGATTCCAAACTAACCATCGCACGCAGCGAAAGTCACTGGATCACGCAGCCTTGCTTTCGCAGAGTAATGAGTTGCGTAGCAAAGTCTGGTGAGCGTGAACACATTAACAGCTGTCTAGAATAGGTGGAATAGTGCAGCTTACTTTCACAATTTCCCAACATTGTGTCTACCAAAGAAATCATCGTAATTGAATTAGATGTAAAGTGATGTGCATGTTTGAAGTATGGATCTTTAATGTGGAAGCAAGACCCGCAATCGATGATCATTAGGGTTATTACGATTTCTCACTCGTTACCTGTAAATTGTTAGTTTTGCCTTTTGATTGTAATGATCAATCCATAAGATGATGAACGGCGTGGCTATTATGGTTTCTTACATTGAGGTAGTTTGAACAGAGTTCAAATTATTTTGTTATGTAATGTAGGGGTATGCCTAACATTAGACGATCAGACTGATAATTGTTGTTTTTTTTTTTCGCGGTATCGGAAAAAGAATGAAGTATTTAGAAAGATCTATACTCTCGAGATAAAGTAGTTCTTTAAAGATCAGGTCATAATAGTATTTATTAAATTTCAAAAGTACTGAACATTCCTGACGAATGGGCTCTAATCATGTCCGCCCAAGAGTGTCGAAAGAAAGGATTTCTAATAAAACAAAATCTAAAAACTAGCCAAGGCAGGATAAGGCGCGGTGGTACAGAAATATTTTTTAAAAATTCTGGTTTCAAGATCGTTGGAACATCCTGAAGTTAATACGTGAAAGTTATACAAGTGTCAACGGTGAGTAAATGGAGCCACGTTATAGAGGTTTGCTCGAGTTGAGTTGCATTGCCATTGACTAAACGCATGAATGCTATTTATAAGAATATTCTTGTAATATACAGGTGTCCGGGGAGGAACGTGAAATTGAAATTGAAAAAATTGACGAATAAGCTCTGAAGACAATTTAAGTATATTTTAGTAAGCTAATAAACTACTTGGATATTCTGAATGGCTGAGCCGCGATAAGCACTCAAAAGTTGTTTTGAAAAAATTCTTTGTAGACAAAAATTTGCATCGCAGGAGTATAGAGACACTCGAGGAATATGTAAACTATTTATTATTTACGAAAGAAATGAATATATTTGTTCAGAAAGAAAAAAATAATCCAGAAATGAAAAAGCACTCAATTTACACAATTAGATTCCTTTTTATCGAAAACAAATAAAATGTGATGAAAATTACTTATATTCTGAAATTGAAGATGTAAATTTCCCAAACGTCAATTAAACTGATCGCATTGCTGTAAAGTTCTTATTTACCCGGAAATTCCTCTAATGAGACAAAATTTTCAGAGAACTATAGCAAATGTAAGGCTGCAAAATGTATCGTTCTATTCATTATTGCAGGTGAACTCTGGGACAATGAGTTCCATAAACTTTTCCTTTTATCGTTGAAAAATGTATTGCACGAGTGCAAACATTCAATTCATAATTTTAATGAATTGCATTATATTCTGATACTAATTGTACTAAGCGATTCAATTAGGTATGTAACTCAATCTGATACAACTCACATATATTTTACAAGAACATATTGCCCTCATTGTAATATTAATTGTAAATTATAGTTTAAGGTTTTGTCTCGGTAGAAAGAATAAATGAGATGAAATAAATTAATATTTCTTCTGATTTATTCTTTCTACTGAGACAAAACCTTAAACTATAATTTACAATTAACATTACAAAGGATCAGCTTTTCTGCTGTATCCCTTTGTAAGACAAGATTGTTAAGCCTTGAATTATGAGGTGATAGGATGGTAATGAAAGGTGATCGCGAGCTTTTGGAGCCATTCCAGCATTCGTCTGTATGACCGAGGAAAGCCCCGGTCAGGAAGGCCGACCCGGAGATCGAACTCTGGCCTCCCGACAGCGAAGTCAGCGCGCTACGCAATGAGCCACTTGGTTCGGTAATAATAATAATAATAATAATAATAATAATAATAATAATAATAATAATGACAATAATAATAATAATGACAATAATAATAATAATAATGACAATAATAATAATAATGATAATAACAGTAATAATAATTTATTATTATCACTATTATTTATGTAACACCGAAATGCTGAGCAGCTTTTTCTGCTACCGGTCACTTCGACTATTGTCGATTGTCGGAGGGCCGCGCGGAGCAGCGATCTCGGAAGGTCGGCGTCGGCAGTTTTCCAAGCCCGCTCCTCGTGTCCTGCGCCGTCCCTAAGAATAGCCCCCACTTGTTCCGGGCATCGTGGCGCGGCGCGCCGGGGAGGCCATAAAAGGACGCAAATAGCGCGCGGATTCCCCGGTGACCTCCGCCCTCGCCGCGCCGCGCCGCCCTCGCGTGCTGCATTTCGCGGCCCACTCCGGCGCAGAACCGCGCACAGCGCCGCACAGTGGACCGAAACGGCGCCCCCCCCCCGCCTGCCAGGTTTTTTTTTAACAACTGAATGACGAAAGCATGATGACGTCGTGTTAAAAAGTACTGAACTGTAACTTATGTTTCAAAATCTCAGCACCAGATTAAAAGTCAGTGTACAAAATGGCAGTAAACAGGTACGAGTAAATTATAATAATAGTGAACTAATTTTAAATATGGAATTCATTGTGTACATTATGTATTATACTAGTAAAATGTGACGTTGCCTGCACTTAAAATTTGTTTTAAAAAGTTTCACTACTGAAAATTTCTGTTATACTTCATTTCTTTTCCAGCTTTGTTTAAATATGTTCTTTCAGAGTCTGGCATTGGACTTATCAATGAATCATAGTATCTGATAATGTAATACTCCCGTTTAAATGTTCCCAACGCCCAATGACCTTGTGTGTAGCCTCAATACGGGTATGAACTGGTCTTATTGCGATTTCAAAATTATAAACACCGTAATAAATACTTGCAGGTTTGGATGCTAATAGTTAAATTTTATTACAGTTACATTTTTACGCTTTTTTGCTAATATGTACAAAAATGCGCATAGCACATTTGCATTAGCACAAATGCTAAATGTGAAAATGCAGATCATTCCCAATTAGTTCCGAAAACTCTATTACAAACCATATTCTACAACACATTTGACTCTTCCCTGGATTTCTCTAACTTTTCTCCCCTACTTTTTGAAGAGTATTGAACTTCCACAAAACTCAGTCTAATTTGTGTTCACTTCTACTACGCCAATTGCTCTATTAATCATTTTGTATTGCGAATCTAACATTAAAAGGTGGCTGTTGTATGTTAATGTGAATAAGTGTTAATTTAAAATAAGAATAATTGTGGCCACATTCATTTAAAAATAATTTTTGGGACACTTATGGATATTGCACACTTATGTAAGACGTAAAATGCGAATCAAACATAATTTTCATCATTCTTTAGCATTACTCAACAGTTTGTTTCTTCGCATATTCTCTTGAAATTTCTTCAAGATTCCAATAAGTTCCGAGCCAATACTTTCGTAGGGTCATTCGCATTTGTTTTTAAAAAAAATACATAGTTAATTCAACTCTAAATTGAACAATTCAAAGACTTGCAGCGCGATTACTGGATTCATTTTGTTCACTTAAAGATGTAACATCAGTGTTGCCAGTCGCCGAAGAACGAAAATTAGGCGATAAACAAAAAAATGCCTTTGATTAATCCAGAGTATATTAATCAACGCCACCTACATAGATGATTTAGAGCGTTGATTTAGTCCTGGCATTATCAACTCAGATCGGAGCACCAAGACACAAAAAAAACCGTTTTTGGAAAATTTCTTAAATCTTCTGGCAGGATCCGAAAACAATTACTAGTTCCACGCAGGAGACCGAGACGCGTCGAGTGACACCTCATAGTCTCAATTGGTGCACGAGAATGTCTAGACTCCAGTGAACGGAATGCAAACACACTTCCGCACGTTCTACACACCTCGAGAGTTTTAGTGAAATACTGTATAGTGATGAGCCTAGATTTTGTGGATTTATTTCAGTACGTGTACGATGTAAAGTTACGTGGGCTATGCTTATTAAAAATATTGTGCAGATACATAAGTATTATTTTTAAACGTTATTAATGCTACCGGAATCCTTATTATCCTTACGATCCTTATTGCTACAGCGAATTAAAGTAAAAGTATAGAGAAAACAAATCGTGTCTCCATTCTTAACTAGGACTTTCACTGTCACCAGAAGCTTATGCAATTTATCGCTATCATTGCGACAGTCACCTGTCTTCTGAATACTTTTCCAATGACAAGATAAAAAGTAAAATCTTCGTTCTTGTGTTAAGTGTTTTTACACTTTAATACGAATCCGGGACATAAAACACTTTCAGGTTTTTAAAATTAATAAAAATATCTTTTAACCATTATAAAATAGAATAGCATTCTTTGGTGTCTACAATCTATCTAAAAAATTTCAAAATAAAACGCAGAAAATATATATAAATAATTGTTTTGTATTGCAGGTAATAATTAATGATTGCGTAAAGAGTTCGCGCTAAAAGTCTGAATACACTATTAGCTGTGCAAATGCTAAATAGAATTTGAAGTGCAGGTTGGGGCCAATTCGCGAGCGCCTGTGCCGCAGCGGCGCATTCCTGTGTGAACAATATTATGACCGTCCAGCGGAAGCCCCGGTGCGCGCACCTTGTAATGCAGTTAGAGGGCCTGGCGGGGGTGGAAAGGGAGGCGACGGCTGAGCGGAGGCGAGGGGAAGGTGCGGCGGGGGCGGGCGCGGGGGCGTTGCGCGGTTGGCGTGGCCGCGGCGCGCAGTCGCCATGTCGTCGCCCAGGGGGCTGCCCGCCCCTTCGCCGCTCGCTCATGCCCGACATCAGACGAGGATGCTCGCCTTCGAGCCCGTAAGGCCCCCGCCGCCTCCACCCCCGCAGCGCTCCTCGGTGGCCTCCGTGCGGCCGTGCGCGACGAGTCTCACCACGTGATAAGGCCCCTCGTGAATTTTAAATACAATTTTTTTTTTTTTTTTTTTTGGTCGGTTCATAATGTTGAAGTGAGGATTCATTCCGGGCGCGTCAACTTCTGAAGTCATTAAGTGGAAGTGGTGTGCATGTTATATCCCGTAAGTGTAGTGCAGTCTATATCTGTGGTTGAGGCGGTGTTCGTTTCCGACGACACGTGAGATGCGCCGCTGACCTTTAAGTAGGCTTGCGAGTTTCCCACCTGTAGGTATCGCCACCAGTGGGACACCGCCTCAGTCATGACAAACCAGAATCTCTCGAATTTGTCTCGCAACATGTGTAATGGTATAGCACACGTAAATGTGTGTGGGTAAGGAGAGAGGGCGGGGAGAAAGGCGACTGAAACATCGCGTGTGGTCCGTAACCCGTTTTTTCGGGTCAGATTCAACATTTGCCTGGTAATGAGTAGTCGGGCGCTAGAATTCTCCCCCGGAGACAAGTTCAATTCGACCCAGCTATCTAGCTCGTGACGAGTTGAGACTCGAACCCTAGTATTTCCCCGATGTACGATGCTGCACAGACAACGACGTGGCCGCCGTCCTATGGCAGCAGGTGCAACTGAATTAAGCAGACTAATAAAGGAATAAAACGATTCAAACTTTCTAACGTCCGTCTTTGTATCGGCATTCAGAAGCTTGTTCAGTAAGAACAGTAATTGTTCTAAAATTACCGCGCAATTTAGTCTTGTTATTGTCCTAGTATATTGAATCTGCATTATTGTTAAAGAGATATTATTGAACTTGTAAATTCGATCATTCATCTTCTGAACAAGATCAAGGGTAATTTGAAAATTACTCCAAAAATATTATAAAATCCCAATAATTAAATTTCTTTACTTCTTGAAGACGTTTCATTTGCAATGTTCATGGGTAAATGTACCGTTAATCAGGCTGTATGTCAAATGTTTGCTCGTCACTTGTGTAGTTTAAGTGGTCTTAAAAACTATTTTTTTAATGAAAGTGCCCTTCTTCACAAGGAATATTCAAAATTTGTTATTCTACATTTAAAGACATGAAATGGTTTGATAGCATATCAGAATATTTTAAGAGTGTATTATTTTTTACAACATTTTTGTTTTGATTCCATTCTTTTGCCAAAAGCTACGCAAAATTGCTCGTGTTATTTCAATTTTTTAAACTAATTCGTTATTCATGGCTATAAAATACGAATACTCGTATTAAATAATATAATAATTAAATAATACATATTATACTCAATCAAATTCTGGTAGGTATATTGTACATTGAGATCATGTAATATTCAAATGAATAAAATTTAGCATTTACCCTTAGAAACACGCTTAACACTTCAGAAATGAATTCTGACATAACATTGTTATTTATATATTTGATGGGGTTCAAAAAACAAACGTAACTAAATTAAATTTTCTCAGAGCAAGAAATGTGAAGACCACGAAAACGTTGGTAGTCGTATATGGTGGTTTAACTGATGTAAAGTTAAGAACCTTCCTATACATAATTATAATTTCTCGTCAATATTCTTGGTTTAATTTGATACTTTAGAAACTTTCAAGATACTTTAGTACATACCTCATTAAAAATTGTTTGATCTCTTACTACTCGTAACTTAAGCGACACCAAGTACGCCCATTCGATAGCTTTTACTATTCATAATGTAAGAATCTAGTTTAAATTAAAGCAACAGAAAGGTTTTGAGTTTCAGAAAGTTTTTCCTTATACCTAAAATAGAGAAAATAGTAATAATATGTTTTTAAAATTATAATAGGACACAAATTAAACATAGTTGTACAAAGCAATATTTTGAGAGGCAATAGTGCTTGCACGGATCCGGAAGTGCAATCCGGAAGTGATCTACAGTTCTCTTTGGATGCAGCAGTTCCGATGTGTATCCATAGAGGAGAGATATATTTCTACTCTATGTGTGTATCCCACGAGTGTTAATGTTCAGCCAAGGGAAAGGAGGCAAAGACAGCTGGCGTCCGCTTTTCATTGTTTGTGTTATCGACATCTCAGTATGCAAGCTCGACGACTGTTGGTTGCCCAAACCATTCCGTGTGAGATGAGCCTTACTCCACATCCTTATCAAAATGGTATGCATATGATGTTTTCAGTTGTGTATTTGTTAGCATTAATATTAATGGGGGCTAAACACGTTTGAATCCTCTGTGACATTTTATTGAGTTTCTAACAAAATAAAATTCGTCTTGAAATATCCCCACTGCAGATATATATTATACATCTGTGGTTCTCAAGTACATAAGGGTTTGCATTTTCTACAATATGAAAATTACTTTTGCCTTTTATTAAAAGCAATGAGTTGTCAAAAATGCGTTCACCGCTGAGATTATATCGGCTGTAATTTACCATACTAAGTGCATTTTCGTTGCTCAATAGCGCTTAAATCATTGAAAAAATGTTAGCTTTTAAATCACAAAATTGAAATTTTTTTTCAGCTTAACAATCGGTTTGCACAGTGCAACAGTCCCGTCGGTTTGTAGGATGTAACGGTGTCCATTGTTGGATATACGCTTATTGTGTACGTAAATATTTATCGAGATGCAGTTGTTTAAATTTACAAGTGAAATATGTTCAATTTATACCTTTTAATAAGTGTATTTGGAGTGAACTTCTATGATTATTTTGTGGGGAAAATTCTGTGAAACAGCCATGGGTACGCAAATGCGCCGTTTTTAGATGTCATGCACTGGAAAATTACTTTAATGTGCTTCTGTACATATTGAACTTCAGAGATTAATTTCTTACCTAATAATGAATTTTGCAACGTAAGAAAATGCCCATGTCTATTATCCGTCATTGTGTATCTTATAAGAATGACATCTAAATTAGAAATTTAGCATGATAACTACAATACTATTATGAGATAAAAGCCTTTTAGGAGAATGTTGTTAATTTCTAATTAGAAAAAAGGCAAATTATCTTTAATTCATTATCTCATTAGAAACAAAGAAGGTATTGCAATATATTTGTAATATTATTTATAAATCCTGAATAGTACTATTTCTAACTCACAATTGATCCTGTAACTCTGTGTACCGCTAAGAACCTAAGATTTACATAGTTTATTTTAACTGCGAGTAGTACTCTGAAATTTCTCCGCTGCTAGCTTTTAACTCCGTGTATGCAACCCGTGACGCATTTATGCTGTGCACATCAGACAGGGTAAGGCTACAGTACATTTACTTCATGGCGGTCCAGGCGTCGTAGGTATCACATATTAAAGAGGCTCTTTTATAATATAGTTTCGATACATTTCGAAACATGTTTATCGTTGTGCATCCTTCGACCATGGCGGTCGGAGTGACTACCAATACGGATAATGGGAACACCTGTAGTTTTGGCATTCGCACGTAAAGAAGCTTTGAGATTTAAGCAATTTTGCAAGGCAGTGTAATCGACATAACGTAATAAAGAATTTTTATTACGCTAGCTTTATAACAAATAAGAATTCCGAAAAATATAAAAATTAAAATGCGAACAAAATACTTAAACATTAGTAGTACAAACCTCTCTTCGCCTTCGGAAGAAAATATTGTATAAAAAATGAACCTCGATTAATAGAGATCACAAATAATAGATTGTCGGGTTAAAGGGCTCCTTACTCTCTGCAAGTCACAGGTAGCCGAAATAATTAAATATGAAACTCAAAAGAAGATTTTGAAAATAATAAAATGATCATGAAGTGGATAAGAGGTTCAACGAGAAGACATGACACTCCCCAAATTTTATTTAGTTGCGCTATGCAGTCATACTAATTGTGCTCTTCCTTTCTTCTTTTTGCAGCATCAGCCTTGCCTTCTTTTTCACCTCCTTTCATTTTTCGTCTTTGGACACGCTAGCCTTTAATTCGTCTTCATACTTTGGTCGTCTTTTAGCCACATTTGTTCTCTCGTCTTCTCCTCCCTTCTCTTTCTTCCTTTCATCTGCACCAGTCACGCTATCTTCTATTCTTATCCCCTTCTTTCTTGTATTCTCCTTTCTTGTTCTCACCGCGTTAGTCGTGCATGTGCCTTCTTCCGCGTCGCCGCGTGGTGCGTTGCTGATTGCGTGCGCGGGCGTGTTGCAGGGGACGCGGAGAACGCGGGCGTGGACGCAGCAGCAGCCGCAGAGGACGCGAGATCGGTGTTCCCCGACGAGATGATCCCGGAGCCCGAGCTGTGCCGCGGGGGCGCTGCCGGCGCCGCCGACCTGGACCGCCGGAACCGGCGCAACCACCACGGCCCCGGCCCCGCCGCGCCGCCCACGGCGCCGCCCCTGCCGCCGCCCCCGCCCTTCAGCCCCGAGGGCCTCATCCTGCCCCGCAAGCTGCACAACCCGTGCCTCGAGTCCAACGACCACAAGAACCTGCACCGCGAGCTGCTCTTCAACCAGAAAGTGTAAGGGCCGGCCTTGGCCTTCTGGCACCCTTCTGTTCTTGTCTCGAAATGCAACACTGATTGTTACAAACTTCTAGGGCATGTAGAGGAAATAGAAGATGATCACGTTTTGCCAAGAAACATATGATGTAACACATGTGACATTTGGGGTTCAATTGTTCTTTACTTTTATTGCCAGCCAAATTAAATTGAAGCACAGTTTAATTATATACGTTGAGAATTTATTTAGACTTCCCTATTACTTGTTATATACTGTAAGAGTTCATTATGCAGTACTTTTCGGAAAGAGCTTTTCTCTCTTCAGGTACTGTAATAAATAAATTGAATAATAATATAATGAATAATATAATGTACATGAGATGTTTTAAATTAAAATAATTTTTGTATATTTAAAAAACAATCTTAATTGTAAAAATTGTCATATCAGTTTTCAAACATTAAACCAAAAATGTAAATAACAGTAATTGTAATTTAATATCTCCCTTTTACTATAATAATATTACAGTACCTGAAAATGGAGAAGAAATTCTCGGTAACGTTGTACAGTACACAATAAACTCTACAGTGTATAACGAGTAATAGTGACGTCTAAATATATATGGAACGTATGTAATTAAACTGTGCTTCAATTTAATTTGGCCGTCAATAAAAATAAGAAACAAGTAAGACGAAACCTTAATAATTAATAAGTCTTAAGAAATGAAACCTGTGACATTTTCTCCTAATTGACAGGCAACTCGACATGCGTTGATGTTTGGCAGTCAAGAAATAGCCGTGCTGCGCCTCAACGTGACCCGCCAAACACAAGTGCGTGACGAGTTGCCTACAATCTAGAGGCACGTCCGTAACTAAATTCTAAGAAATTTCCCACTTCACGATAATCTTCGGCTTCCCCCGCCCCCAAGCCTTTGGCGTTTGTAACATTTATTTTGAAACTTCTGGAGATTAACCCTGGCAATGTGAGAGTATAAATTGTAACGTCTATTATGGGGGGGGGGGGGTCATTAAACACACTCGCGTAAAAAAGTGTTTATGTTCTTATCAAGATATTATATATTTACTGAACATTTAGAAACACAAATTCCTTCAAGGAATCCATTTTCAATCTCAATCTGATACATTATACTCCCCTTCACAAGTATCCTTCTAATTCCCATTCAACCAAGCTTTCTGACATCTTGAACTGAAAAATAGTCGCACTCTTACTGCTAGTTCTGTACAGAGGCATTTACGAAAAATAACAAATGTGGACAACATTTGCAACAATGCAAACAAACAAAATTTTCCAATGGAGATGAAAGGGGAAAGAATAATACAACTAAAAGAACTATGAAAAAAATATGACTTCTACAAAGGGAGGGCTTATGTAACACGCACTAGAAAAACACAGATATAAAAAAAGTGATACACATTTATCTTCTGCTATTGTTGGGGAAAACAAAGAGTAAAACTACCTCAACAATTACATTAATTCTCCGCAAGAAAACAGAACCAAGTGAACTAAAAGCAATATCAAGGTGGTGGACTTCTTGAGTGCCCCCCTCCCCCCTTTCTTATTTCTAAGGTTAATCTATTTATGTATTTTTACATGATCAGCCTTCCTCAATTTTCTCCTATTTGAAACTTCTAATAGTCCAAAAATCCATTATCACCATATCTTCCAAGAAGTAATTACTGAAAATTCTATTTCCTTCTTATCCCAGTGTTTTGTAGTCCAGTCCTTCATGTGCACTCATAATCATTATTCTTTTTAACTTTCTTTAATTTGTTTTTATAGAGTTTGCTTTTACTTTCAAGTTGGTCAGTTAATGTTATACACCATTCAAAGCTTGCAGCTTTATAGTCAATAGCAGTGTTGCAACATGTAATTAAATTTTCAATTAATCAAAATCATCTGAAAATAAGCATTTTCAGAATAAATTTTGAGCATCTTATTCAGGTTGAATTCTGCTTATATTTAATTGTACCAACAATATTTTACACTAAATAGCACTGATAACAATGCCCTTTAATTTCTACAGACACAATTCTTCCTTAACCCCCTACTGTATCTTCTTATGCTCCATAACACTGGAATTTCATTCTTCTGAAATTCTGCATATTAGACTAGATACATTTTAAGCATTTGAAAGAAACAATTCCTGCCTTCTGACTTTAGTAGGCCTTCTGCTTTTATTCCATTACCCAGGCAAGCCACATGGGCAAACAAAGTTTGCTTGGACCATTGATCTTCATCTTCTAAACTCTGTTACATGCAGAATTCAAAACCCTGATGTCATACAAGTCTACATCTATTCCACAACCTGGCTTAATGCACCCTTCAACGACTACCACTGGTGACTTCCTAAACCATCCGCTCCTTACTAACTTTTCTTCAAACAAATTTATTTCACGAAATGTCATGGACCCCTTCTCTGTCTATACATTCCTCCATATATCACACTGTTGATAACTGAAGAAGGCAAAGCTCTCATGAGATTACTAGGGTATCTCCATATTATCTCCCTTTGTGGATTTTTAAGAGATGTTCTTTCCTCTGGTCTATTATCAAAATAACATTCCTAGTTTTCTTCAGATAGAGAACTGATTTTATGCTTTAATTAAATAAACAGCATTGTGGAATTGTTAATTATTTGGCAATGTTATAACAAAATATATATGAAGATGAAATATCATAAGAAGATTGATCATGGATTGTCAAGAGCAGCTTCTGTGATGTGTGCTTAGCTTAGTGTGTGTAACCTTTCCAAGTGTTGAAGATAGAAAGTGATATACTAATCTCCATTGAACTGGCTGTAAATAATAGTGAACTTCTAGTGCAATTAAAGCCTTGGGCTGCCTCTGAGATTTATAGAATTAAGGGGTTATGAAATAGATACAGACATGTATAATGCCAGTGTTTTGCATTTCGATTCTCACATAGGGGGGAAGATAAATAATCTTCATTATTCTTCAATAATTTTGGAAACATGAAAGTTTTAGAATTAACTTGCAAATATTTTCTTTCTAAATTTTATATCATTTTTTTTAAAATGTCAGTTATTTATTATGGGATTTGTATATTAATAAACTGCATTTGCAAATATCATGAATTAACAGTAATTTTTGTTTTAGGGGAAAGAATGTTTTAAACCAAAAATCAGAACTTCAGAAAGCCTTTGGAAAACATAAGGAGCAACAAGTACGCAAGGAATTAGAGCAACAGCGGCAGAATTCCAAGAGTGATTTTGAGAGAATGGTTGAAGAAAGAGCTCGTCGAATGGATCTGGTAAGTAAAAGAGACTTTGCTGTCCTCATGTGAAATATACTGTTTTATGTGTTTCTAATTATGTGTATTGTTTTGTTTTTGTAGTTGGAGAAAGAACGATCAGAAGATTCTGACAAATGTTCTCAGGGAGAATCAGAGTTTTTAAAGGTTCATGCAAAAATGCGTGCTCGCATGGACTCAAAGTGATGGCTTATTGTGAGAGACTGTATTCCCTTGCCTGTTGTGGGCAGCAGTAAATGCTCTTTAGACTTTGTGTTCAGGGACCACATAACCACTGTCTTCTGGAACAACTTTCTTCCCAGTTTGTGTGTCCTATAATAGTGGACAAGCATCTGTGTCTTAAAGACTGCAGTTATTTCTATTCTGTGTATTATGTGTATGTAATAATTACTTTTGTCAGTGCCAGCTACTTTAGTTTATAATGTAAAAACAATCTATTTCATATTAATGATCTGTATTTTCAATAATTGCAAAGAAACAATGAATGGTGAGATATCTTTAAGAATCCTTATAAGTTTTGTATTTACAATGATAGTTTCTTGATTTAAGAACCTTATATTGTGTTCCTGAATAATTTTATGAATTATTGTCTTTTGAGTTGTTGTTCAGATATTTTCTGTGCACAATTTTCTATTGTTGTTTGTAATGTATGTGCAATTTGACCAAGATGCCACTTGCATAGAATTTTGACGATTTCTTGTAGTTACTGAACCATTGCTGACTTGCATTATTCATTATTATTTTGCCAGTCTACTTACTCATATTTTGAATTCAGCATCTTTAAAAAAAATTGTTTAGTTTACATGGTGTAATGTCCATTGAAGTTTCAAGAAGAAATATACATTACTACTACTAATATAAATAATGCAAAATTCAGTACATATAATTGAAAGTTCATGTAAGTGGTAGCCCAGTCAACTAACAGATGGATTTCTGTAAAAAATATTTTGGGATTTCATTTTATTATTGGACCAAACCAACAAATTCTAGGAGCTTTTTGCTACAAAAATATTGTGTGTAGTCAGACCTGTGATATTTCTTGTAGTTTCCTCTAATGGAGAAAGCACTTTGTATGTATTTTTCAGGGAATATGCAGGTATAACTAATGTTAATAAAGAAAACTGTATTCTTACTGTTGAAAGAATGCATTGATGGTAAATAAAAAAAATTCAACCACAATGTTGTTTTTCCAATGCAACAAATGATTAATGATGGATAAAACAGTGTAATATTTATCAGGATCACTAATAAAATGTAAAGCATCTATTTTTGTTACAGTAGGCTGACTTTCTCATTGCAGTGGTTAGATTTAATCTTGTTTTCTAAAAATTCTTATTTAGTACTATATACTTTATACAAAACATTTTGAGTGAAAATGCAAGAGTTTTATGTCATTGAAAATATCACCTCGTAATCTATATGAAATGTCAGTACAAATAAAATAAAAAGAGAAAAAAAAGACAGACCTGCAAGTTTTAAATTTTGTTTGATTATACAAGTCTTGTGACTAACAATGTTAATTATGTTGTACATTAATGTTATAAGTTTGTTTCACTTTAAAATGCTTTATGTCAAACTCACCATCCTAGTAGTAACCCATGCTAGCTTGTAGCAGTGGTAAAAAGTTAAAAGATGATTTAAAAACAGAGTAAAGTCTAGTAGATTGTAAATAATATTGATATGAGTGCATCTGGTATCGGTATAAATAAACTGTAAATGCTCCATTGTATATTTAGATGTGTTACACCAATAGGCCTTCAAGCATTTGTAACCATTAATAACTGTAATTTTTATGAGGCACTGAAAACTATTATTCTTCAGTTGAGAAATTATTTATTTGTCCAGGTTTGTTCAGTTAATTATTTACAATTCTGTACCATTACCATTAATATAGCACTTTTATTTTAATGTAATGGAGAATTCGAAATTTCTAATATTATATGGACATTCACGAAATTTAACTTGCAGTTTATTGAAATTAATTAATGTTTATTTGCTTTATAAAGATAACTGAAATGTTGAGTTATGAGTTATGAGAGATAAATGTAAATTATTGTTCCAGTGCCCAGAATAAGATTGCAGAACTGTCAATTTCAAATAAATATTATAGATGATTAAAATGAATTTTATTTGTTAAAATTCCTCTTTTCTTTGCAACTTCTGTTTCTTGTGTAAATCATTTTAAATACTAGTACAAAGTACAAGTGTATGTAAATTTACTAATTTGTCAGCTGAACAAGTGGCATATATGTATTCTAGAAAATTTTAGGTGTGTTCTTGATGCTTTAATTGAGCCTTGGGGTTATGTGTGGTAGCATTCTAATGTGAGTGAACAGAAGGGGCTGTCTATGCCTCAGCATGTGCATGCACTGCTTTGGCAACTCTTTCTACCTATACAAAATTCTTACACAGAGGGGAAAATCCTTTGACATGGAGGTTCAGATGCCAGCAAACTGAATTGAAAATATTTTGCAAATATAAACAGCTTTATGCATTGAATGGTTTAAACTAGACTATTAGAATTAAACAACGCAGATTCAAGAATAAAAAGAATAATCATTTAGAACTGCAGCAAGAACCATGAGTGGTTTCATCACTATTATTTCCACACTCTAGAATAACAACTGCTTTGTATGCAATGGCTGTCTTGAGATTAAAGAAAATTAGTTTTTAGAACAATAATGTTTATAATAAATTCACAGTTCTTTTTTTTGGTACATAGAGTTTCATCAAATTCACTGTCTTTCCTGTGAAAGTAGCAATCATACTTTCACCTGATATTATATGTCCGCATAACACAAATTTTTTATGGTGCAGAAGAAAAATTTTCCTATTTTAAGGAAAATACAATTTTCTCATCCTTCCAATCCATTAGACTGATTAACTTCATAAATTGCACAAATTTTTGCAAGTTTTGGGGTGAACAGGATTCAATAAGACACATTCTAATACTATAACCTATCCCTTCCACATTCTTCCTTGTAACTCATGCTTAAAAATGGGAGGGTGCAGGAAGTTGAAAACTTCAGTGATTTTAATAGCCTACTCAGTCTCTAATTTTTCTACCCCACTCAATGTATGTACACACTTGAGTCACCTTAGGCTTGTGTCACATGAGCATTGTGTTGTCGTGTGATAAGTAATGCTTGTACCAGATTAACTCAACATCTTTTATTGCGGATTGGCCAAAACACCCTTGTGCCATTTTGCATAAGATATCATACAATGTTATTCAATGATGTGCATTACTTAATGCACATCAACTCAATGTTTGTGTGCTGGGACCTTTGTTGAAGTTGTTCTTTCTCTCCACTCCTTCCTTAGTACCTCTTACACCGATTGTCATCTCTCAGCTCACACTGGTATCATCCTTGCAAAACACCACTCTAACTCAATATTAATGCTTCTATTTAGTTCTCAACATTTCGCTTAGCTTCTCACTCTGCCATTCCCACAATTTCATGCTAAAGATACATTCTGACCACATTATTATGATAAACTCTTCAACTTATATCTTTATTACTAGATGTCCTCTATTATATCATAATCACCCACCATTGCAACATTAAATGCAATACAACATCTGAAAAATTAATTTCAAAGGTAAATAATATTCATAAACCTCAAAGCCAGAGTTTACTTTACAGATTCGGTGACTCCAAAGAAATATTGAGGCACACAGGCAGCTAGTATTCACTCAGAGGAGGTGACATCCTCAAAGAAAGTGTGGCATTTTCTTTCAAGGCACCTTGAAATCTAGTGCCCAGTTTGGAGTAGGTTGTTCTCAGTTAATGCAGGTTTCAGGAAGGATGTTGTAGATGTAATACCTACTTGTAAATGTTAACACCAAATAGTAGAGAAATTCCAAAATCAGACTTGCCACATAGCCAACGATCTGTTTTCAAGAACAAAAGACAGCACAAAAGCTGTATGATGGCTTCTACTGCTTATCTACTGCTTATGCAGATAAATTACCTTATTCTGAAAATGTTATCCTCTAGTAATAGGAAACAAAATTAAAAATATTTAGAATGGACTTTAACATTTTAATTAGAGGAAGAAAAAAAAGAAGAAAAAAAACACCCTTTGATATAGCAATTCTAAACTTTTACTCCAACCAAGGGTTTGGGACCTTAATCATTGGAACTTTTAGAACATTAATTTGATGTACAAGGTAATATCAGGTTATTTGAAATATATGAATAAATAGGTAGTAAGGGGAAGAGTAATAATATTGCAGAAATTTTACCCCACTAGGTGTCTCTTCCAATTACCATTTTTGTCTGTCAGAGTAATCTCATGTAGTTAATTCTCTTCTAGCCATTGACTTCTCCGTTCTTTCCTTTCACAAACTAGGTCTTCCTGGTCTTCTATGTGAGGCAGGTTGCCCATTCCAGAGTTTTTGAGGCCATCATTCTTCTTCACCTATTCTGTTTAAAAAACATTTGAGCCTTTTTATTTCAATGGTATTAATAATATTGAGATTCTCTTCTGCTTTTCTTCTAACTTAATCATATTTTACTTTGTCCACACTGTCAATCCATAGCTTTGACATTGATTCCATTTTCATTGCCATAAGTTTATTCTTTTTACTTGTAGATTTCCCAAACTTTAGACCTGTATATGACCATAATCTTTACAATAGTCCTGTACAACCAGGGGCGAATCTAGCTGATCATTTTGAAGGGGTCCATCATAGATTTTTATTAAATAATAAACATAACAACTCATTTTTCAAATCTTCTCATTTTCCTCCAAGCTTTATTTAGATGTGAGAGTTGGAACTACGCAACATCCTTGCCACCAGTCTTTTACAGGAAATGATTCAAAAAAGGTTCTTTGAATTTTAATTTGACTTACACATATGTGGTACAGCTCTTCAATGGCGTTTAGTAAATAACCTACATCTTAAGGACTTGTTTCTCCATGGTTGTAAGAATTTCTTTAATGGAACAGTATCACAGGACTAATAAAGTGTCATAATCAGTTTTACCTAAACAGAATGGTTCAGAAAAAATATTACAAACTTCCAGAGAATTTTGGAGAGTCAAAGAAGATCTCTTTCTACCAATGCACATAGTGGTATCTCAATTAACTGAGATATACATTTGACCTTTTTCACATCACGACCTGATATCGGCAGACAACCCTTCCTTCCTCCATCTTTCACTAATACACACAAATTATAATAATCAGTTTTATTGAACCTATTTCATTATTAAAACAAATTTTTAATAATGTAATATGAATGAAGATGCATACCAGCAACAAAGTTTACAGAAACTCTAAAAAAAATAAATAGAACAAAGAACATAGTAAACCGTTCAAATCTGAATAAATGTAGCCTAACTTTAAAATAATTAAATTCTCTAAATTACAGTTTAAAGAAATTATAATGCCATTACATATAAAAAACAAAAGCCTATTGAATAATACAGAATTAAAAATTATCTATTCAACATTGTAGTGAGATAGAGTGACACTAAATAACAAATGCTGTGGCAGATGAATTGCACTACCTCCCAACAGTGGATTTGGAAGCTTGAACACAATATCAGCTTTCCTTCTGAGCATCACCTCCAATTCTCTAAAATGATATGAAAGAATAAATAAATAATCTGAAAGAAAAGTACCCATAGGAACTTTAATAGATGAAAGGCACAATAATACGTGCTGGCCAAAGGTACAACAAAAGGTTACTTTTCCCAAAATCAAGCAATTGAATCTAAGTTTAATTTGTTTCAAATAACAAACTCCAGATTTCATCTAGAATGTCTGTTGTAAATATTTGTATTTTTCGCTATGATATAGAATAAATATAATTCAAGTTATGACAAAATTATCGAAACAAAATAGTACCTACCTTTGACGGTTGCAAACAGATTTCTCATTTATACACAATATTAGTACAAATTTCCACAGAAAGACAAGACTTACCGTAATTCTGGCTGCAGGAGTATAAATTAGGTAAACCAACTTCTGAATTTCATCAGTAATATGCAACGCAAGGACTGGTTAAAGATACAACAGATTAAAGGAACACACCCTCCCCTATATTATTATATGAGATGTCCCCCACATTTCTTTGGCAAAAATGTATCATTTTTGACCGCTCCATATATCTTACAAATTTGTAATATGTATTCTGATACATATAGATAAGTTTCTATGTAATATATTAGAATTCTTTTAGAGCCTTTTAAAAATCAGATCCTTGCTTCTGAGCTCATATTGTTAAAATGTCTTTTGATGTAGCTATTAATTTTAAATTTTCAATCATTTTGATTTATATTTAGTTTATTTAACAAAAATTACAACAATACAAAAATTAGTAAAGCTTTCAGAATTGTAAAGATAGTAAACACACACCAAACTTATTAAATAAAGATGAATTGTAAATAATTAAATAAAATCTATAACAAAATGTAGCTACTTTTAAAATGAAGTTCATTAATTTGTCTGAAACAGAGCTGGGATAATATTATCAGGGGCCCTGAGCAAGATGAGAGTATGGAGCTCTCTAAAAATGTTGAATGCATGGAATGAAAATAAATATTGAAATAAATGGTGAGATTATCAATTTTAAAATATAGTAAATATTAAAATATACATACAGTTTTATGAAATAATGTGAAAAGAAAAATATTAGGAACATATGTTCAGCAGGGGCCGTAAGTATGTGCTCAGTCTGCTTATACCTCAGATCACTCCTGATCTGACTTAATGTGCCATAAAGCTAGTTTGAATTCAGACCTACAGTCCCTGGCCAAATTATTAGACGCACTCCAAATTTTTAACAAAATGTTAAGTCTAGAAGTCTCTCACTGCAGTACATTACATCTGGCATTGTTGCGAATCAATCAATAAAAACAAAGCTTTCTTTTTCTAATAAATAAACAATTATTTGTCATTATGTACATTGTGTTGTGACCCTCATTGTTTTCTTAGATCACAATTACAAGAGTTGAGTAGAACAAGAGGTGACATGAGTAGTGTGTTGTTGCATTGAAGATGTTTTTTTTTTTCCTTTCTTAGTTTGTGAAATAGGTATAGCGTGTTTATTTAAAAATAGTGAATTGTTTTATAGAAAAACTGATTGTTTTGAATAAAAATAATGGAAAGGCAAGTGATTTGTGTCATCGGAAGATCGCAGCAGTGAAGCTTTTTGTCGATTCAGAAAATTATACAAATCGTGAGTTATCTCGAAGGTGAACTTAACCGAGACATCTATTCGGCAAATTAAGAAAAAAAATTGTCTTGGTGAAGAATTATCCCCACGGGGAAGAACACATGTGGAGGAAGAGAATATTTTCACAAGATCTGAGAGATGTTTGAGAAAGATTTGCCATGAAAACCGGTTTGCTACTACTAAACAAATTAAATTTAATTGGAAAGTAGTGAATCTGTGTATCTGAAAGGACAGTAAGGTGTAACCTACTACAAATGAATTTTAAAGCTTGTAGACCAGCCCACAACCCAGATTACAGCTGGTATGAAAGAAAAATGTCTTGCATGGGATAAGCACCTTAAGAATAAAGATTTGGACTTCTGGAAATCGTGAAATTTAGTCTAGTGCTTTTTTTATTAGTATAAATGGCTACCAAAATTAATTAATAGTCATTTATTTGTATTTAAGGTTTGTTTTAGCGACGAATGCA